TATTTCAGCTAAATGACCTCTTTGCCATCAGCACTCATCTCTGTGAGGAAAACCGGACTCCCCTCCCCTCGGGACCCCTGGGGACCCCTCGGGATTGGTCCTAACAGTGGAGGAGCATAGCCAACCTGACTGTAAGAGCCTTGAGTGATCTTTTTATTAGCATTCTCAAGGGAATTTGGTGTAAAACGAAATAAAAGCAACTAGCTTCCCTGCAGTTTAAATATGGAAGTGAGTGATACTCGAGGGGTCACCTAAAAATTTCCACTACAGTAGAGGAAGCCCTTTCGGTTAGATGTCCCCTGCTGTTTGACTTTATTGCTGTCTGTAGGATTTCCAGGGTGTTCAGAAATATTAAATAGATGGTAAGCTGTCCAACAATCTTCAGACTAGCACGCACACACACACACACACACACACACACACCAAAAATAAATGGAAAAAAAACCCAAAACATCCACAGAAAGAATTAAAGTTATAATGGCTAATACTGACAAAGCTGTGAATAACATTAAAAAATGGATACCTACAAAGGAAAAAGGGGACACAGGAGAGATGCTCAGCAGTTAAGAGCACTTGATACTTTGAAGTTTGCTTCCCAGCATCCACATGGCTGGGGAGGTGGGAGTGTTTCACAAGGGATCTAGCACTTTCTTCTGACCTCTGTGGGCACAGGCACTTCCATGGTGGACACATACACATACATGCAAACACTCACACACACAAAGTAAAATTTTAAAATGCAAAGAAAACTCAGAAAGCCTTTAGAAAGCCATTTAAAAGCACGTAGTCAGTGCCTTAAACTTTTCCCAGTGGCTACAAAATAAACCCAGGGATGCTTTTTTGTTTTTAATAATCAAAGAACTTGTTAGAAAAAATATGGCTGTATTTCTAGAGATACTTATTTTAAACAACATGAGGAATTGTGTAAAAGGTCAGTCACACCTGACTTTGGTGGAGGCAAATAAAACCACTCAAGACAATCATGAGTGGCCTGTGGAAACAAATCCAGTGGCATAGTGATAAAAACTCACAACATTTCACTATGGGCCATGCTGATAGCTGCTTAGAAACTGGTAACTGTGAGTAAAAAGACTATGGAAACAGGACAGCGTGAAAGTAATTCCCACAGAGAGAGGTTATGGGTCCCATTTCTTAGTTCCGTCCTCTTTAGCAATGTGAACAGGAGAGAGAATGAGTCCAGCGTTTAGTCCCTTGGGGTTCATATATTAAGGAAAACATTACACAGCCACCTAAGCAATATTTTTCCTCCCCACTTCAAATCTCAGCATGAGCTTTTCCGGGATCCGGGGCTTTGCCCATGTTTTGTTGAAATGTCTCTGGCTACCATGGTTATTCTTTGAAAGTCAGACAGGGTTTACATTGTTCCCTGCAGCATACACTTTGTATCTATCACATCATGAGTTATGACACGAGAGCATTCTGCCCCCGGGTCTTTGATGGCAGACTCAGTAGCTCTTTTCTGCTTGCATAGTAAATGATGGTCCTCATTCGGGGTGGATTTTGTTTCCAAGTTCTTGCCCTTTGTTATGGAGTATCAAAACTTTCCCACAATGGCCTTCATTATTGGAAGTCAACTATTTTGTCATCTTACCAAAGAACATGCAAGTGTTACAGTTACAATGTGACTTCATGCAGGAAGCAGAATTTCTCACAGCAGGTCAAGACGTTAGCAGTTACACTCTAGAACAAGAGAAATGGTTTTGTGCCAGGAGAAGAACTCCACAGGCTTGGGTTATCTGGTAGTTACACATTTCTATAGGTAGTATTTGCATCGGGTTTCTATGCCTCTGGAAAGGCACTGTAGAATAGAATATATGAATCAAATGATAAAGAGAATATAAATCAATCTTGCCCTCCCTCACTCAATCACATAGTGAAGGACACTGGAAATGTTTCATAGATGGAAATTAAGTTCTGATGGACAGAAGCTTGAGCCACGTGGGAACATCATAAGGGGACAAGGTGTCTTTTGTTTCTGGGCACTTCACAGGGGCTGGAGTTTTTGTTGTTGTTTCTGTTTCATTTTTGTTTCTCTCTTTGGAAAATAATCACTGGTTCAGAAAGTATGGTATACACCACCATCCTCCAGATATGGGGGCATTTTCTAGCCCCACTGCCATTGCCTTTCTCATAAAGGCTGACCATTCAGTGTGACCATGAGGGGGTAACTCTGGTTGTCTTTATTACTTTCCCAACACCATTGTAAAATCATTTGTGCAAAGCTATTGCGGTAAATAAGGATCAGGATAAACAAATAGGCCGAATAGATGTTTATTCAGGGAGAAATAACTTACAACCTAGACAGATGAACACCAGGAAATTCAACCCGATCCTCTCCTGTCCGAGTCATGCCAGAAAGAGAGAGCGCCTTCCTGGCCCCCTCCAACCTCCTTCCTCAGGTCACCTCCGCCCATCGCTCCACCCCCCAAATGGGCGTGGTCAGTGCTACAGAAGGACTACCTCACTACAATTCCCCTTTTAGTCTAAAGAAAAGATTTAGGCTTAATACAAAACTATATACAAAACAGTGAATAACAAGTGTGCTCTAAGAAAAGGAAAATCGAGAACAAAATGACCTACATATCTAGTCCTAGGGTGAGGGCATAATGGAGTTTACAATAGAGTTGTCCTAAGCTGGAAAACGTAAGTCTAGTACCTAATATATCTAACTAGGAAGAGAGAATAATAGTTGTGATAGTTTAATCTTCAACCTCATCAAGACCTGAGAAGGAAATTAACAATACTAGAGTAGACAGGAAATGTGGATGGACAACTTCCAAAAGGTGCAGCAAGGACAGAAACAGCAAGCCACCTGAACAGTCACCCTAGGTCTCACAGCGACGTTGGTATACCCAGATTTGGCTAAGGCCAAGAGAACTTGACAGACCACAACAATAGCAGGGAAATAGAATGGCTGTCTTACCCTGACTTGGCAAGGTCAAGCAGTCTTCTATATTTGTCTCCTGCAAGCACATAGGACTGCATGTCCAAATCAGTGGTCAAGGTGGGGGCAATTCTATGCCCAACAGGCCATTAGCTGAGGCGAGATTGAACTCCAGCAGGAGCAACAACAGTGTCCAACATATTTTCGGGAAAGTGCACGGTGCTGTCAGGAGCAACAGTGTCTCATGTCAATGGAGTACTAATATTAAAACATTTAAATGCCATGTTCTGCATGTCTATGAAGTGATTGAAGATTAAGCATCTATATCTGACTAATCTCATAGGTACAGGAAATGTGAGTGAAGATAATCTGTAATACTCGGGAACTTAGCTAAAAAGACCGATTAAAACTTTCCTGAGTAAAGCAGGAACAAATACTTAAACAATATAACTATTTACATATACCTACATGTAAATCCCTAAAATAGAGGTAGAGTATAAGTGTCAAGACAAGAGGTAGAACTATAAAGGGCAGCAAGATAAATATCCCAAATTGTATCAATATACAAAATGTCTTGAATACAGGAAAAGTATACATACATAGAATATGGTAAAAAATAATGTGCATAAAATATTATAAGTGGAAACATTTAACACAATATAACAAAATATAAACTTAATTTTACATAGCTTACCACATAAGAATATACAACAATATAAGCTGTAAAATACTATCTCATTCTTACTCAAATTCTCAAGAAAATAGGCTAATCTACTTTTATCCCATCTAAACCATACCTTTACCAACCATTCTCTATTCCTGTCTAAAAGATAAACCTGAGTGTAAGCATCACCCAATCCCAAATAACTAAAACCAACCCAAAGACGATGACTATTATCCCAAAATTCCAAGGGTAGGGAAAGGGGGCGTAGTCATATTAAGATTACTTCCTGCTGAAATGGGACGATGATTGCTCCAATGGATCCTGTAGGAAGAAAATTTTTAGCAACCAAATTTCTCAACAGAACTGGCTGTGACATATGTAGTTAGTCACTGTGTGGCAGAAAATTCTTGACTGTAGTTCTATTTGAAACTGGCCAGGGTGTAATAAAAAGGTGCACCATTACAGCTAGCTAGCCATGAGTTGTCTCGAGCAAAACAGTCTCAAACCGGTTTTAGGGTGATGTTTGTAGTTCCGATGCATCAGGTTGAGTCAAGTGGAAATGATGATGTGGGGCCCCATCTTCTTTCCGGAAAGTTCAAAGACTGCTGTTAGGAATCGTTATTATTCCTTGTGGAAAAGTTACACATCAATATTAAAGTAAAATTTTCAAGTTTTAAGGTATGCATTAGGGAAAGACAACAATAAGCATTAAAAGTATGTGAGAAAATTAGGATTTCAGAGAGAAAATTGCATAAGATATGAGTCCCCAGATTTTGTTTTCTTCTGCCTTACACCAATTGGCTTCTTGATTTAAGGCAGAAACCATGAATTTAATCTTAACAACAGCCCCACTGCCATTGCCTTTCTCATAAAGGCTGACCATTCAGTGTGACCATGAGGGGGTAACTCTGGTTGTCTTTATTACTTTCCCAACACCATTGTAAAATCATTTGTGCAAAGCCTTTTTTAATTTTTGCTTTTTTATCAGATGTCTTTTAGCAGATTAGGTAGGTGTTCAAGGATAGGAATTTTCAAAATAGACATCTGTAAATGCTACTTTAAGTCTAATAAGAAAAATCCAATGACCTAGTCTGTATTTTTAACTGAGCTGATGGATGGCTTTAAAGTTCCCCACCAAGAGAGTTTATCATTGCCAAGTGACCTTTATTCTTTCAACGAATGCTAATTGGATGATTCCCAGAACTGTATTAGCTTTCTTCATGATGAAAAGACTATACAAAGAGAATTAACCCAGTTAAATACTTTGTTCTCAAGCATATAAAAATTTGGAGCACAGTGAGACTAATTATTCTAATAGTTACTTACTCTCCATCTTTCTAGCACATTCTAGAATGTGCAACTCCTCTCATTATCTCTGCAGTGTGCTTGCTTGGTTTGTTTTGCTTAGTGACGTATGCTTTCTATTTTGAGGGCGAGCCTGGGTCACCTGGAGAAGAGGGGCACAGTGGACTGCCAGGACCAAAGGTTGGTACAGATAAAGCCAAGCACAGTCAATGCTACATTGGTTTAAGCTGTCACGGTTTTCTATTTTTCTGGTTGTAGTTGGGTAGGATTTTTTTTGTCAGTTACATGTTATGCAGCCATAATACTTCGTAACTAATGACGAAATTATGCTTGTGATTTCATTAGCGTTAGACATGCAAAAAAGAAATAGGAGATGATTGTCTAAAATCTTTCTTGTGGGGCTGGGAAGATGGCTAAAAGTTAAGAGTGCCTGGTACTCTTGCAGAGAACTAGAGTTCAATTCTTGGTACCCTCATGACAGCTCATGACTTTCCATAAATAATTCCAGTCCCAGAGGATCCAATGCCCTCTTCTGGCCTCCAAGGACATCAGGCACACATACGGTACACAGACATATATGCAAGAAAAACACCCATAATATAATTTTTTTAAAAAAAAAATCTCTTGTGGGATAATTAAATAGTATAAGAAATCCCTGAAAATAATTACTGTCACTTTACCCCTTCATAAATTGTGAAAACATAGGTCATGTTCATACTGTCTCAAATGTGCATGTTAGCAAGCCCCACTACAGATGATGCTCACACAGCCATGACAGCTTTTTCTCAAGATTTGGCCACCTTCAGCTTCTATACACCATGGCCAGTTAGTCAGACAAAGAACAGAATAAATATGTGGTGTGTTTAGAATTTAAAAATGGATATAGTTTGAATTACTAAATAGGGAAAAAATGTAATGAGGATATTTTTTTGGATTGCTTGTTTTCTTCGTTCCTTGAAGAACAAATGACTCCGTTAAATCAAAAAAGATTGGTGACAGTTTAGTTTAAACCAAGCAGGAAGACAAATCCCAAATCCTTTGATGAGTGAACACCCCTTGAAGTACAAAACTGATGTCTAATCCCATCAGCTGTGCTGGTGTGAGTCTGTACCCACAGATGTCTGTCAACTGATTTTACACATCACGCTGCTATTTAGGTGTTGCCTAAAATTTATGGACGTGCCTCTTTCTTTGTCCTGGAGAAGAAGAAAGAAAATATTCCTTCTGGGAATCCAGCCCTCTTCTGTCTTCTTCTCTTTCTTGTGGTTTACTAAAAAGCCCAATGGTGGGAGCAAATTCCTGATGAATATTCACAGTACTGTTCCTGTGTTGGCCGCCAATGCAGCCATCAGGACGGATGCTGAGTGATGAAGGTCACGAGGAATGCAGAGAGCCAAGGGGTCAGGTTGATTTCCAGAGAGGGAAAAGAACCTTGTCTCCAAATTGACTCCTAAAACGGGGTTCTTTTACTTTGATTTTCTTTTTTCCCCACAGTAATCTCCTTAAAACACTTTAAGCAGTCTGCTTTCATGGCAACGCTCATTCAAGCTTCCCATCCAGAAATTTTGTCATAGGGCATATGGACTTTAGAATGTCTACTGTCTCTTCCCTGCCCTTTCCTAGAGAAAGGAAGAAGGCAATTCTCTTCATATTTTAAGCCTGTGTTTCTTTGGTCACTATTTCTCGTAGGTTACCCCATTCTGGTATCTTGGTTTGCAACACGTGGGTTCCTACCAGGTCCAGAATTGATGATCTCGTCAAGGGGCCAAGTGCTACATTGAGGGTTTCTACCCATGCCCAAGGATTGCAGAACTGTACCAGGGGTCAGGCCTGAAATAACCCATGCAACAAGGAATGCTTTAATAGACAACTTTAATGAAGGACATAACTAACCCACCTCATTGACTTTGAGTTTGGACAGATATTGAGTTGCCACATTGTGTTCCCTCCCCCCAATGTCCCAGTTTATTACTCGGTGACCTTCTTAGCTACTGCACATATCATTATCCTTATAGAAGTAAAGACTTAAGATTAAAGTTGGTACTGGTACCTGTACCCAATTCTTCTGGATACTTTTGCAACTTGTTTTCATATAGAAAATAAAGCCAATAATAGACAGTGCCCTTTATAATTCACCTAGTGCCCTCTGTATGTGTTCAGTACCTGCTTTGTTTGCTATTGCTTTGTTAACTCTTCATTAATATCTCTCAATCTCTGTTTGTGTGCCCAGGGAGAACCTGGAAAAGAAGGAGAAAAGGTAAGAATGGTTCTGCTTTGTTTATCACCTCCCCTTCTCCAGAGCTACACCCAAACTGAAGTGGATGAATGAAAGGATGGATGTTGGGCAGATGGATGGACAGATAGATATAGTCTAAGAGGTAATAATTGCTTATTTGCCTGTCTTTCGGGCAGTCAAATAGTGGAAAGAGAACATGTGGTTTTATCTTTGGTATAAATTTTGAGACTGGGGTTGGAAGGAAGGAGAGAAGGGCAAATACTGCATGCCAGGCTTTACAGTGGCTTCCAGAAACCCCTAGCCCTGTAAAATCCCACTCTGCATACTTACTAACGCCATTCCAATGCTTCCCTAAACATCCACAGCTGTCTCTACTGCTGCTGGGGACTCTAGGTCCAAGGTCAAAGGGATTCAGATGTTTACCTGCAGCAATTGTCTGAAAGTGACCCCACAAAGAATCCCCATCAAAGCAGAAAAGGGAACGAACATAGAGACAGGGTTGCAAGTTAATACCTGATGGATGCCTCCACTACTCCTTGCAGGCCTGTCTTAATAGTTTTCAGACTCCTAGTGTGTAATGGCACTGTGTGAACCCGGATTCCCTCTGCTAACTGCAGTGGTGTTTGGGTGTGTCTCTGAGTGGAGCGCTACCTAGATAGTCTTCCTGCCTGCAAAAGAATTCATCCAAAGATCAGAAAATCAGTCCTCAATTGAACTGTACTCCTTAGCCTTGTAAAAACAGAAAGAAGGCAATATGAAGTTGGAAAAGCAACTTAGGAATTAGAAGACCATTTATGAAGGGATAGTGACGCTCTTTACTCTCTGAGCCAGGTTTCCCAACAAGAGATTAGTGTTTTAAAGGGGTTTTTATGCCAATTTCTAAAAAGCATGTAAGGAAGTCACCTATCAACACTGCCTTAGAGTATGTACCATAGAGCAGATGCTTGGGGGCTTTCATGGTGCATGGTAATTAACTTGGAATTAATCAGTCACCAAATAACTGCTTCATGTAGTTGTGGAGGAAGGGGGATCGACGCCAGCACCCATCTCTGGCTGCTGCCCTCCTGGCCCACTGTAGACAGGAGCCTGAGCAGGTTACGTTCATGCTCATTTGAAATGGTAAGAGGATCTCTGGAGGGGAAAATGGCGATCCCTCTTCTACATTCTCATTCTGGAGAAACCACAACTGATGGTTTGTACTCTTAAATGCTGTAGGAGGGTTGAAATGGCAGAAAAGTGACCTTCTCTGAAGTGAGAGAGGGGCAGCCCAGCATAGGAACAGCTCACACACCAAGACCCTGGCTCCTCAAAGAGCAGGACCAGTTTTCAGAGTGTGCTGGCATGGTTAGAAATGCTGTGTGCAGTACAGGACTTGGTTCTCACAGCTGTGTAGAGTATCCTTACCCTCCTCACACGACCCAGTGCAAAGAGCATTGCATTTGCCCGGCTGAGTGCTAGTGCTGGACTCTGTGGTATTTCCTCTCTTAAGGAGCTATAAGGCTTAAGTGAAAGAATTCCAAGTTTAGCGGAGCAAAGCACAGGGATAAAATGAAAACCTTTCCCCTTTGCGCTGCCTTGTGGATAGGAAGGAGGTGTCACTGGGGGAATAGGGAGGAACCGAAGAAGAGCATATAGTGCATAGGCCTTTGAGAACACGGCATTCACTTGGAAGCCCTGGGACCTTGGTTGGTTTGAAGATCAGTAGGATGTATGCAGTCAGTAGAGGGAAAGGGCACGCTTGCACAGCATGAAGAAGGTCACAGAAGGAGCAAACAAGCACCGTGGCACACTGTGGGAAATGTCGGCAGGGCCCTGCTGTGGGGAACTGTAGACAGGGGAAAGTTGGTGTCCACATCAACCATGAAAATGATGACAGTTGAATCACTGCTTTGCCTTAGTGCTGTGGGGTTTAAAGGTGCTCAGCCATGTTCGTGTAATAAAAGTAATTATATTGGCATCAGTCATGCTGGTCAAGTAGAAGTGTGCAGAATCTGTGAACATTTTCAGTGGTTTGGAACAAGAATGTCTAAAGGAGAATTCAACGGAGAATGTTCTTTGCGTCAAGTCACCAATGTATTTAGGTGTTTACTTTGTCCTCTTCTCAGGGAGATGCTGGAGAGAATGGCCCCAAAGGCGATGCAGGTGAAAAGGTACAGTCTTGGGAAATACGGAAGGGTGTGTGCATGAGCAAGGATATTATAGAATGTGTCTGAAGCTGGGGGCTCTGGTAGATGGTATCAGAGAAACCGCCCAAGTTAGGAAGCCATTCAATGTCTGACTTATAAAAAGTGGTTATTCCCACAACCTATGCCCAAATTTAAATATTCTGAAAGCAAAATGGTTTTCCAACAATAGGTAAACACGCCCACTCACATGGCACTGTGCCTAGAAGGGGAGTCCTTGCAGTGGTTTGTTGTGTCCTAGTTTTAGAAGGTGTATGTTGATGAATGAGGATGCAATCCGAAAGTTTAGTCTTGAGTTAGTAGCACTCAACTGCAGTGTCTATGTCCGGAACTCTGGGTACCATGGCCTTTGCATTCTGTCTTTTCCCTCCTCGGTCTTTGGAACATGGATCAGCATTTACAGCCTTTGTTTCCCTTATCTGTGTGTGTCCTCTCTTGTAGCACCAGTCTGTCATTATGGTGTTGGCTCAGGGTTGCATTTTGACATCCCTGATATCATGAAGCTGTGACATCAAAGGGATGTTTTCCTCCATCTATGCACTGTGTTCAAATATGGAAAGAAAGCCCTTTTAGAAGCTGAGTACAGAATCATAGCAGACGGGTTTTAGTGCAAACCAAGCGAGATAACTGATGAACCAGAGGATTATTCATTCAGGCTTACAGTTGAGAGGGAGACTGTTCCATTTTTGAAAATTATGACTGTACAGATGGATGATGGTTGATCATAAAATATGCTCATAAAATATATAAAAAACTTATCTTCCTCCATCTCATAAATATTAATACAAATACGGCATAGGGGTAGCAACAAATTAATGTCACTAAGTAGCAACTGTTTGCATTTTAGAAACAGTTTGAATTTAGGATAGATTCTCAGTTTTTTGTAGACCAGGGTGTCTTGGCCTCAGCGCTGTTGACAATGTGGACCAGATACTTCTTCAGTGTTCAGTGGAGCTGGTAGGCAAATCTATATTCTACAAGCTACCCTTAGCATCCCCATTCCAGAACCCCTGCTGGAGGGCCATCTTTTTATCTTCCAAATGTAAGTATCAAGCTGTAGTCACATACGACATGGAAGTATCTATTGCAAAAAAGGCTGTGAATACTCCTGACTGCTCTTGGGGCAGGGTTTGAACCCTTGGGGATGTAAACCCGGATGATGGTTTGTTTAGTTTTCATCTTCTTGTCTAAAAACAGAGATAAGCCAGCTTGTTCTATAAATTAATATTTTAGGCTTTGTGGTCACATAGTCTCCAGCACAACTCCATGGTTCTGTTACTATAGCAGAATTCAGCCACAGACAACATGCAAAATAAATAAATAAATAAATAACAATGAGTAGGACCATGTTCGAAATAAATTTTATTTCTGGGCATGGTGATTTCCATATTATGTAATCTATATGTATTTTGTAATGTTGTTATTTTGATTATTTTTTTAACCCTTTAAAAATATAAAAGCCATGCTTGGCGCAATCTTGCAAATATCCAGCAAGATTTGGCTACAGTAGCCAACCTTTGCTTAAAACAAAGGAAATACTGTACACAGAGGCCGCTTTTTCAAACAACAACAAAACATAAAAAATTTTGCACTGTACCTATGTGAATTTAAATAGAGCATTTTATGCCTTAGCGGTTTCTTCTATTTTGGAACATAGGCCAGTAATTGTGTCTTTATTCACACAGGTTTTGAAATTTAATTTTGTAACAGTAAAACAATGTTTTTCCTTGAAAGGACCCAAGTGTCTCAAAGGAATGTTGTTTTACTTTATTCATAATGCAAATCAGTTACCATACTGACTCACACATCATAAACTTTCAATAAATACTAACTTTTCCTACCATGTGGACATTGAAATCAATGACATGGTTGTTTTCTTTTCTTTTCGTTTTTTTTTTTTTTTTTTTATCAAAAAGTTTTATTGCTCAGCTGAAATTAAGTACAAGAAATGCCTCAGTTAAGGCGGAAATCGTTTCTATAAACTTTCAATGGGTCTAAACAGGGGATCGTAAATAGCAATCTGTAACGTGTATAATATGTAATCTGACCCACAGCGTTCATCCCAAGAATGTAGTGATTGGAATATAATTTTTGATGTGTTTTTTAAACATTTCCTGCTCCTGTCATATAATTTGTTTCCAGCATGTTGGGAACACTCTTCTTGTGGCCTTTGTCTTCAGTATGTGAAACTCATTCATCACTTTCCAACTTTGAGGGGTAAAATAAAAAAAAAAAAATTTAAAGCCTCTTTTCTGCTATTGATATAGTAAATTACGTCATTGACTGATTCACTTTAATGGATTTTTTTCCCTTTTGATCCAACTCAGCACATTCAGATGGTAAAGCAATCTGGGTCTTTCCAGCCTGGTCATCTGGAAATGCTGGGAACTATAAAACCACTGACTGGGCAGGGCTTCTCTGTGGCCAGCAAAGCAGTACACTCAGCTTAAGATTAACCTGCCAAAGACTGATTTCAATCACATGTAAAGTTACTATGGAAGCTTTGTATTCTAGTCTTTGGAGTGTTAACTCCACCTACAATGTAGAAATAGATTTCTTAGCCATTGCAAGTAGGTGTCTGTGTGGCTCACTGAATGGTTGGACCACAGTGTGGTGGTATCTGCCGAGTCAAGACCCCCCACCTCCACTCCACTGATCTATCCCTCACCTTGGCTCCCATGGTCTTCATTCCTATGCATGCATTGCCTTCTTATTGAACACCTTGAACTCAAGCATCTGGCCTTTCACAAGGTGTGTCGTATTTGTAGCAACCTGTCGTAAAACTTCACCTGGCAGACTGTCAGGGGCACTCCAGGACAGCCAGCACCTGGTCCTCCCCAGTCCTGCCCATGCCATTCTTTGTGTAGATGCCTGCTTTCTGCCTTCCCGTTCCACATCTCCATCTTCAAGCTTTGCTCAGTTTTCAGTCCTTTGAAGCTTTGATTTATAAGTCATTTCCTAGGGAAGCTCTTTAGTCTCCTAAACTGCTTAGGTCATCGCCTGTGCACTTGAACAACACCCTGTAATTCTGTTCCTAATGTGTACTATTCTTTAATGTGTTTTGTGTGCTCTAGAAGATGGACAAACAAGCACAAACCCAAAGGATACTGCCTAGTTTCACTTCTAGTTAATGGAATAAAAATCCCCTGACAGAAAATCACCTTACAAAAGGAAGATGTGGTTTGTTTAGCTCATAGTTTGAAGTTATAGCCCCTCATTGTGGAGAGGTCAAGTCAGGAAGCAGCTGGTCACATTCCATGTGCAGTTGAGAGCAGAGAGCTGTGAATTGGTATGTGTGTACGTGTACTAGTCCAAGACGTAACCACTGAAATGTACATACATTCAGAGTGGGTCTTGCTACCTCAACCCAGTGAAGAAAATCCTACCTAATTGAAACAATTCCTCAATGAAATTCCTTTCCCAGGTCATTCTATCCTGTCAAGTTCACAAAACTAATGATCACAGCTTTACCCCTTGCCAGTTTGACACCAAGCACATCACTTTTAAGCCTTAATCTTCCATCCTTTGTCCCAAAGTCAACCCAAAAACTGCATGGTTCCAATCTGCTCTAGTTCCAGCACTAATTCACATTTCTAGAACATTGTTTAGGTAATACAAACTGTTTGGAAAACCTTTTTTTTTTTTTTTTTTTAACCTTGAAACAACTTCATATCTTCATTGAATGGCAGAAAGTTTCTATAGCCTGCATTTGCTTATTCTGTCTTTATTAACATATGCATTTTTAATTACTTGCTTAGTACTGCATTTGAAACAATCACATACAAAAACCAGTGCTTGACCAAAAGTGAAAAATGGTGAAATTGCTGGATGTGGTGGTGCATGCCTTTAACTTCAGCCCTTGGGAGGCGGAGAAAGATGGATCTCTGTGAATTTGAGGCCAGCATGGTCAATGTAGTGAGACAAAAAACAGCAAAGCCAAGTTTACTTATCTCACAGAATTTCTATCTGTGGCTTACCCCACTGACTAATGAAGCTGGGCATATACATAAGCCATAGCTGAAAATGCTGTTTCCCACTGTAATCCTGTATTCACTAGCACTTGGGGAATAGGGTTATAAACATCCCCTGCTTTATTTCAACTGCCTGGAATATTATCCCTTCTAGCAGTTGTCTTCTTCTTAAAAGTTACAGAAATCCTGGACATTTCACAGTTGCAGGTCTTTTAAAAGAGAATATATAATTATGAATTGACTATCAAATGAAACCTCTCAGATTTCCACAAGTAAACCAGCCTTTCACATGTCAGACCTTCCTTTCCATCTACTTTCTCTGAGGACAAAATCTAGTCTTTATTCTCATAAGGTTAGCCAAACACTCTTGTATTAACTACAAGTAGTCAATACAAGAACTTACAGATAATACAAGAACTACCTTTAGCTTATACATTTTCTCTAGCCTTTAGGGCTCATTCTCAAATGATATAAGCCAGTAATTCTTTTCTTATTCTAATAAAAAAGAATATGAGGAATCTCATAATTCAATTCACTTGTAACTGCTTCTTCAATTTCCTTATCTGCTAAGTGGAAGTAGCAACTCCTTCCCTGCATGAGAGTTTAAGGTATAAATAAGACAAAAGGGACTTCAAAAAGTCAAATTGTGTTTCTGAATACAAAGGGCATGTTATCCAAAAATATTGCAAACTGGCTCATTAGTGTTGATGGCTCCCAGACTTAGTTTAGTAGAAATAGAAACAAGTATTATTTTCTTCACTGCATTTATTTCTCTCTTCATTTGGAACCCATTTGAATGTTAATGGTTGAGAAGAGAAGACTCATTCATACAATATTTAGAGTTCACTTCTTTGTTTAGCCACATTTTAATTTTTCCTTGGGTAATGGCAATTACAGATGTCAAAGAAATTCACATGTGCACTTCTTTCCTCAACAAACTAAATTTACTATTTCCTTCTCTTTCCTAAGCTCTTGCTTCCCCCTTCCTGAAGGCCTCTTTTCATTTTGATCCTTGACTGCTGACCCGACTAAAAACACTGTTTTTCAGACAGTCATTCACTATGTGTATGCTAAGCATACACTGGGGTCACGATGCAGAAACTGTTCCCATGCGGCTGTCTCTCTGCTGATGGGACAGATGGGTATGTAGGCAACACCAACAGCAATCACAACACAAGATGTGCCAGACACAAAGCACAAAGCTACCCAGTAGGATTCCTCACTGTGGGCCACGTGTAGAGGTGAATGGGTGAACGGTTCCTTGAGGCTTTTAACGGTTCCTTGAGGCAAAGTCGTATAAACCAAGACTCTAAAACAAGAGAAGTGCCATCATAGGAAGACGTGAGTGGAAATGAGGACAGGGGCCATGTACCAGTCAGTGCAGAGGGGCCTGACTGTATGTCTGTCTGTGTCTCTGTCTCTAAAAGGGATTGACAAGCAGCTTCTGGACTCTAGAACAAGTGAACAGACCCCTGGAGATGTTTGAGTGTTTGTAAATGACAGAGCTTAGGGAATCTCAACTCTGGCCTCCGTCCTTCAATTTTCCTGACAGTCACATGTGGCTATGTCCCTTCCTTTTCTTTGCCCTTCTAGCATGTTCCTAGAATGAGACTGAGAAGCTAGGCCTTTTGCTGCCTCACTTACAAACAAGTTACAGTCAAGCCTCTTCTCCATTCTCCTTTCTGTGTTGGTCCTATCCTTAGGATGGTTGTGTTTCTGTGAGCAGAGTCATCCTTCATGAAATCTGGACAAACATAGTCTTTTAAAAAAACAGAGTTTTTCCCCCAAATAGCCATCTCTTACCCACCTCTATGTCAGAATTAGTATCTGTGACTTACAGATAAAAACATTTTGGAACCTATTTATTTAGCAGACCTCTGCCTTCCTCCAACCTCAAAGCTAAGAATGTCTTCAGATAGTACCTGGGCCCTTTAGAAAAGCTCCCCCATCTGGCTGTAGCCACCAATATATTTTTTTTCAAGTTTATAAAAATACTTTATTTTAAAGATGCTTCAACATCTTACTTTAAGATTATACTAAAAAGGCAATCAGTGTTCAGTATATTATAGAGGCACATTTAATAGCCATGAAAAAACCTCCTCCATAACCACTACTATGTATATTGTTTACTGGATGGGGATAGTGGAGGACATGTTTCAACATTTTACTTAAATATTACATAATTGGATTTTTTTTCTCCAAGAATGAGATTAACTGTTCCTATGAACACAATTTGTCATGAGTTACTGTAAACTTACCTTGATGTATGACTTTCTTTGGTCTGTGAAATTCTAAAACTTCATGAAACTGCTTTATGAAACATGAAATTTGGGGTACCTTAAATCTGTACTCCTGGACAGTGATCACCCAAAATGGCTCTAGAATAAACAAACTCTAAATATCTTTAAACAGTTTTAAAAAAAGATTCTATCTCAAGACTTTCTTAGCTCCCTCCATGTATTCCCATTACCCACAAGTCGTTCATCATGCCCTGACTTGCCAGTGACTTGAGTTATAGTGCAATGAGGGCAAAGTAGGAAAAGGCATGCTCATGCCTCGCCATGGCAACAAACTGATCTGCAGCATGACTTTTACAACTCAGCATCATTAACCTCTTGACTTCATCTACTGAACCTTGACCTCCCAAAGACCAAGAAGGGCGGGAACTCCCTGTAAACAGCCAGTGACATTAATAAATCCCAGAAGCTAAGAAAATCAAAAGTATCAAATACCTAAGTAATACTTTATTGCTTCAGAATATATTTTTAGCATCCCATTAAGGAAACAGCTTTGTGTTTGTAGAGTTTTAATTATTTCAAGAAATATAGTCTCTTTGTGCTTTGTATTCAAATTAGGCCCATGATTTCAGGCAGGGCAAGGTTTCTCTTACATGCTGTTATCATATAATGACTGGGCCTATTGACGTACAAAGTCTTGTGGGCACATTTAGGCCCGTTGATCATACAGAGAGACCCTCTGAGTATCCACATGGGTAATGGCTGCCTAGGTTGCTTCCATTGTCTCTCCTGGGTGTAATCCATCCTGGGTTTTCTTTTAGGGTGACCCTGGATCGTCTGCTGCAGGAATTAAGGTAACTATAGACATGTTTGTGCCAGGGGAATCGTGATTTTGACTTTGAGCCTCTCTTGGCTCTTCACTTTATCCATATTGATGGTTATAGCTCTTGTCCAATTCTCTGGCAATATCTTCCAAACACAACAGGGAAATCCTGGATAGTCTTAGTAGGAGGGCTTACTTTTGCTTCCATGTTTCCTTGGTTTCTAAGACATATTTGTATGTGAGCTCTAGACATACAGCTGCTTCCATATGTGTAGTGTGGTGGAGACTAAGAAAATGGCATGCACAAAATAGTGTAATCAAGTAGACAGTTGGGTCATTACTGTAAAATACCCCAAAGCCTAGTGGTTTTCAAAATTTCTAAGACTGACCTTTTCATCTTTGGTTTTCTTTGGCCAGGGAGAACCTGGGGAATCTGGCCGTCCAGGACAAAAGGTAATATCTCTGTCTTAGGTATGTTCTTCACTTCTCTCCACGAGCAGTATTTCACATCATTGTCATTTAATATGGGAACATTTATTGCACAGTGGTCCAGTTTCCATGCTCAGCCCAAATGTTATTGGTTGCTTTCCATTTTAAAAGGTTTTGATGTTGAGCATTGCAAAGTGTGAAAACAAACTCTGTATGTATGCACTGGGCTGTTTGAAACTAACCAATCTCAGCTGAATTGGAATGCCAGCTTGTCTGTCACCTTGCATACTTAAAGGTAATCTGTGTTTCGTGAGAAGGAGTAACTATATACTAAACAGTCTCGATGGAGAATGATGGGCAGTTCTTTTAAAATACTGCTAACTTGTATATGACTCTAACCTGTGTCATGAATGTTGCCTTATGGAAACTTAATTCGTTTAAAGAACTAAATTTCAATTAGTGGCTCTAGCCATACCACTTTCACTAACTAAGCTGTGTGTACATTAAATTTATCATTTGTGCCTCTTCACTGAGTATTTATACTCATTTATTTTCATCTGATTCTGAAGCAGGAAGCACAGATGTTAGCAGTTACTCAACTGAGCACCTGGGTCTCAATGCCAACTCCAACCAAACCTCACATAACAGACAAATTGTACATAAAAAAAATGTGAATTCCATAGGTTCAATTCCTTAAAACCATGCCCTTTCCTTTGTCCAGTGGTAGCTGATGTTATTGGCAGAATATGAATTAGGACTTAGAACAACCCTCATTAGCAGAGACTGAAAATTATTCCTATTGCAGTAGTTTGGAACGTACCCTTGAGAGTTTGTTGATGGTTCGTGTTCTTGATGTAATCGAGAAAGCTTTTGTTTAAGCACTTGGGATGGAAGTAGCTTCTAAGAAAGTTTGCATGTTCTTTTAACATTTCTCTAATTTAATAGCTATTTTCCTCTTGAAACTGAGAATCTCATTATTGATTCATCAGCTCAGCTCCAGGTGGGACGAGAGCCCAGCACAGCTCTTCAAGTCTTTCTGTTCTGATCTGTCTCTTGGTCTTCAGGTCCCAAGTTTAACTCAAGAATCCACATAAAGATATTTTGAAGAAACGGGTTGTAGTAATAGCCCTCTTCCTCTGCTTCTCAGTTAACCTGGAGTAACATCCCAGCAGGTCTTTGCTGGTAACAGATACATACAGCCAAGTCATATGTTACTCTTCAATGTGTTTTAGTGAAATATTCCAAATACCTTTTGGGAAGGAACCTCAGATGTCAGTGTTCTTTCTGTGGTCCCTTTCAGTAGTGACAGCTTTCTACACACTTGTCCCTCATGCTGACTTTGTCTTTGAGGAAACCAAACTTGTTAGCATATGTGATTATTTTTTTTTCTCTTATATGATGGGCACTGACAAAGTGAATAACTAAAACTATTAATCTTTCTGTTTCCCTAGACATGCTGTATCATGGGCATCATAGCAGGCAGCCCTCTCTGACCTTCTTTTTTAAAAAAAAAAAATGTGGATTTTCTAATAACAGAGATCCATGGTCTATTTTCCCTAGTCATTAAAAACTAAAGATTTTTCTTAAATTGCCCTCCAAATTTGTGATTTGCTCAAAGACATGTCAGTAGGACCAGGCTTAGTGGAACGTGCCTCTAACCCAACACTCAGACAGCTGCAGTGGGAAGACCTGGCATTCAACACCCTGAGTTCAAGAGCCTGAGTCAAAGGAAAGAGGGGGCTGGTGAAATGGCTCAGCAGGGAAATGTTATTACTGCCAACACTGATGGCCCAAGTTCAATCCCAGAACTGAAGAAGAAAAATGAATCCTGCAAGTTGTCCCCTGATTACACACACACACACACACACACACACACACACACACACACACACACGGATGGATGAATACATGGATGGATAGATAGAGAGATAGAGAGATAGATAATAGATAGATAGATAGATAGATAGATAGATAGATAGATAGATAGTCTTGTTTTAATGCACAGGAGGGGTGTATACCTGCAAAGTGTCTCTAAAACACAAACCAAAACCAATCTCAGTAATCTTGTGTAGGTGTCATTGTTTGCATAGTACAAGAACCAAATTGGCCTTCAGTTATTTGGCATAATATCACATTATTATAATCATTTATAAAGATAACAGATCCATTCTGAACATTTACAGCTTATAGGCAGGAACCCTGGATTTTCTTTGTATTTTATCAAAACAATAGATTTCAATGACATCAATAGAAGCTTTCATCTAGGTTGATAATTGACCTGAAACAAACCTCATACTTTTTATTAATATTTAGTTCAGATTCTACCCTCTGACACAATCTCACCTTCCTAAGATTCTAACATCAATTTTTCATAATAATGCCCCTACTTTAAAAACCGAGCATTTCCATGTTGGCTGCATAGAGGCAAAAAATGACAAACTGATCCTGGATATCATCCATTTGGCACCATGGCAGAGTAGTGCGGTGGTGTTCATTGACACAATAGTTCATGAATTTAGGGGTGTACCTAGAAAAGTTCAACATGGCATGGCCAAGTGACTAGCCTTCCACCTGAGATCATCTCCAAGGCTCATCTATGGTGATGGTGTAGTGGGGGATTCATTTCATCACATTTTTCTCATGCAGCTTCAGCAGAAGAGTTGCATGTAGGCTTGAAGAAACACTATAGACTTGTAAATTGTGAGTTATATTTCACCACATAGGTCTTCCCTTCCTAGCCTTTCCCCAGCTCTTAAAAGTATACATTCTAACTTTGAAGGAGGAGATCACTTGATCAGAAGGGACTTGTACCAATGAGCTCTGTAGATACCCAGGGTGTTCTAACAGAGTCCCAGGAGTAGCACTCTCTCAAACTGGAGAATGGAGAGTTGAAAAGGAAAAATAATAAAATTAGAAATACAATGTAGCTGTGTATAGTTGAAACTCTTGAATGGGGACTCTGAATAAAATAACAAGCTGACTCTTAATTATGACACATGTCTACCACATTGACTGTGCTCCCAAGAGGCCCCTGAGCCATGCCATAGATGTGGATGACCAAGTTAATGAAAATCATTTCTCTTAGATGGAAGGTAAACTTTCTACAACATAAAGATCATGAATTCTACAGAAAGAAATATCTTACTGAAAATGTGAAGAAGTGTTCCATAAGGGCAACATTAATGATATTACCATCTCTCGTTATGTTGTTATCAGCAGGAAGTAAATACAAACTTGGAAAGGTAAAAGTCACAAACATGAATATCTGAAGTATTTAACTAAAACATACATTTATGACCAACCACATGCATACACATATACATACATGATGTAGAGAAAGGCTAAATACTCATCATTTAGCATTCTATTATCCTTTATGTTATCCTGTAATGTTTTCCACATTTTTCTCATTAGAAAACACTGTATGTGCTAATCATGCGTACATGTGCATATCAGTCATTTCTTTAAAGTAACTATGTGGTCCTTTTAAGTTGATAGAGAAGGAAGTGGTGAGAATTCTTATTGGAAAATATTATAACCTATTTATTTCCATATATACGATATCATCGTGAGAGTTAGGGAAGTCTTTAAAAAAAAAAAAAAAATCCCACGTGTTATTTGTTGGATATTCCGATGCAGTTCTTTTACTCAAAAGCTTTATGCTATTTTTAAGCAAAAGATAACTTTCAGTAAAATATGTATGGAAGCCCTTTCTATTTGGGCCTCTTAATGTTACTGGTTAAAGGGTAAAAGAGAAAAGGAAAGCAAAGTTTAATGTTGCACATCTGTGAAGTTTAATATATCTAGACACCTGGTCTTTGGATGGAATAATAGCAAGTTATAATTCCTTTCTTCTCTAATTTAATTTTCTTGTAGTCATATTGATAATGCACTCCTCTGCACAGAATTCCTTTCCTTTTGCCTTCTGGAGTACCTTTAACAAGTAGCAAGGGAGCCACTGCCTTCCCACTTTCTCTAATTGAAGGCTTAATAAAATGTCCAAAGGTGTAATATAATAATACCAGAAGAAATTCTAGCTCTTTGTAATCTGAAAGGGCAGGTAGTGGAGATAAAGGACCCAGTTATTGTTTGTAGGTTTTCCTTGAGTTAAGGATACTCAAGGGCCAGGAAAATGGCTCAGCAGTCAAAGTGCTTTACCCTGCAAGATGTATAACCTGACCTGGATCCCCAGCACCCACACAAACATGGAAGGAGAGAACCGAACCCACAAAGGTATCCTTGAACCTTCACACATGAGCTGTGGGAGGCATGCACACATGCACAATGATAATAAAATAATTTAAAAATTAATGGTTATAGAAGCATTTACGCCATGACACGTGCCTCCTCCTGGTACCTGTATCTCTTTGGAAATGGTTGTCATCTCCCTGACTGACAATTACAAAACTCTATGGTTATTTTACCTTCTGTGTCATTTCCACAGATGATAGGCAACACTTCATAGCAAATACATTTTTTTTCCTGATTCCTTTATCCTTTTGTTGTGGACTCCAAGAGACTTTCTAAGCAATGTAATCTCTTGTGCTTAAAAATAACGTAGACAATTCTGTGGAAAATGAGAAGGTTTGGCCTGTCTCTGGTGTGCCTACCCAAGGCCTACTTAATCTCTGACCTGTGTTTGGGAACAGCTGCACAGTACCATTAGCCCAACACTGCTAAGCAGGGTCACCCTAATCCAGCAATTGTCAGGAATACAGGCTGGACCTAAGTACATTCTTAACCATGTATTTGTCTTCTCATCCTTCAGGAATGAAAAGGAAATCTTCCTATCCTTTTAAGTGAACAACATGCTTAATGTGTGTTATTTTCCTGGTGCCATCTGTTCATACAACAGTCTCTCGATTATCCAAGCAGGGAGAGCCCTGGGGTTATAGGACACATTATTGAAGCAAGCAGCTCCAACAAATCCTTGGCCAAGGGAGTCATCAATTCAGTCTTCCCTTCTCCCTGCATCTTCTCTCGTGGCATCTGATAGAACTGCCAGTGGGAAGTGTTTAAGAAATCCACCAAGTGGTTGGCCAATCCCAGAATGAAGAGTTGACTGAGCTGAGTCATCTCACTAGTCTCTTGTATACATTTCAATTTGCAGAAACTGTTCAGCTGGGACATTTGCCATGTTTTTCTCTGATTCTGTAACTGAGTACATGTCGCTCTATAATGCATTGTGATTTTCCCACGTAGGGTGAGCCAGGGCTGCCTGGACTACCTGGACTCCCGGGGATCAAGGTAAATACTCCACTGACCAACTTCACTGAACTATAGTTATGAGTCACCCCAAAAATTGGAGGAAATGGAGAAAAAAGTAAATACTGGTTATTAACTATTCTGAAGTTGTCTCAAATGCTTAGTTAGTTTTTATTTTTAATTGAAATTGCACACAGATATTTAAAGCTAGCCATTGCCATCTGTTGGCTTTATCAACAAATGTCATTTCAAGTGAAATCATGCAAGGTTTTTAAAGTCTAGAAAGAATATCTCTTTCCCTCAAACTTTTAACTTCAGTCCTAAAGTCCTATCAAACTTTGACCAGAATGCATCTTAGCACGCCTGTAAATCAGGTACTGGGGCAACCATGTATCTGCTTCACCATTGTAATAACCCCTCTAAGGATAGCATGCTACCACCTCCTGTCAGTCACTCTCATGGAGAAACAGAAACCACATTGCCAAAAAGGTTTAACCCAACACATGTACTTTCCACAAATGCTCTGTGCTCATCTTTTCAAATAATCACTTAAGGGTCAAGATTAAAACATTGTTTTAAGATTTAAAGATTTCTAAGCCACCTAAAATCATTTTTTGAAAAAAAATTTAAGGTTTTTCCCATGGCAGCTGCAAGACGTGATGTTCTATTATCTTAGCCATCATTATTCCTTTAGAATAAACTTAACATATATCCCAGAAGTGATGCAAGTACATCTTCCATTCTAAAATTAATGTTCATATTTCAATTCTGTGTGATATTTTATAATGTGTTAACTGGAGTTAGTATGACTTTACAAGTATTAAATGTCTTATGATGTTTATAGTATTATATAGGTGATCAATACACAGAAAAAAAAACCATGTCTTCTAGGTTGGCACTCAGAAATTCTGGTTCTAGTATTTTGTTGGCTGTTTCTAGGTTAATATGAAAGTTCAGATTGCTTTTAATATATGCTTTGACTCTTTGGTAGACAGTACACTCCGAAAAATGTTTGCTGAAGAGTCCAAGTCACTTACCTGCCATTTTCTACTTATCAAGAATGGCATCCTAACATGAAGGGAAAGTTCATATTACAGTGTCAATTTATAACAGTTCTTTAGTAACTTCCATGCATAAAAATGACAGCTTTTTATAAATGATAAGATCATCGATTTTTAAATGATTTAAGGACATGTTTCAGGGTGTTAATTAGAACCTGGTGGCATTACAAATCATAGTGAAGACATTTGAGACAAAGGACATTGGAAGGACAGGGAGGTTCCTACAATAAGCACTTTGGCTTATCAGGGTGCAATCTTACCTTGGGAAAGCCTTGGTGTCCTGGTCCCTTCCACTTGTCCCTTCTGCTGGGCTTCAGACATTCTGGTCACTACAAAGAATAAGAAATGGAGGCATTATTTTTCCAAAGTACAACACAATTAAATACACACATAGACATAAATGCTTTTGATAGCTACCGTATTGGTGACCCTTGCCTTACTTCAATGTTACGTCCACACTAACTCTTGGCCTTTTCCTGTGACCTTTTCGGTTACCCATGACCCATTCAGAAGGGTCATGAATTCTCAGGTAGAGAGGGTTAATAGTAAGTTGGCACCTCTAGTAAGTGCTTAAATCCCCACTGCCCAAGAAGTGCTAGGAATATTTTTGCTGAGGTGGTGTGGCTCTGATGCTGTGCTCCTATCCCTGACTCACTAAGTGATTGAACTGAGGAACTGAGTTGACAAACACTTCATTTTTCACTAGAGATGTTTCTCTTGGTCATGTCAGTGCCGTGCTTGGGTCACCATCTGGTGTTCGGGATAAATCATGAGCTCTATTTTTGCTTTAATAAGATTTGTCTTCTCACTCTAATTCTTTTCAATGAAAGATAAGCTCTCCTCACAACATAACAAATGTTAAACATCAGCAAATAATTTGGGGGAAGGCAATGTAAGAACACAATTAATGTAGTTAGTGTTCATTGTATATTCATAAATATAGATAAAATGTTATAATTTTATAATGATACTACATTAACTTGATATGCTCCTTATTAATGTATTTTGCCTCATTTTTACTCAGGTGGCAAACTACTAGAAAATTAGTTCTCATTTCATAGTTTAAGTTATTAACCAGTAATTGAAACCCCTATACTTGGCTATAGGATGTGAGGTAACAAAAGCATCAGTCATGATCTTGGGCCTGTGTATGTGCTTATGCTTTGGAAATATTTCCTGTTGCCACTCATGTCCTTCTTATTTGCCACTACCACAGAGCATGTGCACATGCCATCCGTTATGTCTGAGACACTGAGGAAACCAGCTATTACATACCAGAGAGGCTTTGGCTCACCACCTGTTCCTCTCGGGGAATAGTTGGAAACTTAATGAGCACCCACATGCCTTCCTCGGCTCTCAGGAAATGAACCAAGAACTAAATACAGACAACAGACTCATCTATCTATCACCTCAGTGTCCCACTCTAGGGAAAGTGCTAAGACTGTAGGCATACAAAAGGGAAGTCACGGACCTGACATGACTACATCCCAAGCTGCTCTGAAGCTTCCCACCATGTGGAAGGCATTTGGAATTCCTATTTCATGCATTCATGGTTCATATAGTGTCAAGATGTTCAACTGGGAAAATTAAATTATGTACAATGTACCATGCAGAAATTGATCTTCTGGAATAAGATTTGAGCTTAGAAAATTAGTTTTATGAACAAGCTTTCGAAAATGTCAGTCTCCCTCCACCCCCGGCCAAGTATCTTAGTGCATAGCAATTATTATACCCACCTTTTCTGCTATCAGATAAAAACGTAAGATTCTAGATCATTAATTTGTACAATGTTACTCTAGACACTTATTTTGAAAAATATAAATAGTTTATCCATTCTTGTGGTTTCATTTCCCTCATAAATAAGTAGTGTTGACTAACAACCCTAGAACAAACCAATCATAGCTTTACAAGTCCCGTGACTCAGGGCAAGTTTTGTAATCTCTCTATGCTTCAGTTTTCTCATGAGAACCAACAGTGACCACAGCACAGAGTTCTATTGTGAGAAAGAGATGAATGAACATATGCAAAACTCTTGGTGTCTCCCTGGGCACATAGCAAATGGCTTCTGATGCTGTTTCTCTTGGGACAGCTCAGAATACTGGAAAGATTACTTATGCCCCAGTTCAGCATAGTCTTTCCTCATGTGTAAATAATTGTAAGCTGTAGAAAATGCATCTAGCTGTGCTTTATGTAGATAAAAAAAATTATGGACCCACCTTTAAAAGGATGACTAAAACTGGTAAAAAGCAATGGAGCACTCACTTCCCCTACTTGGCACCTACAAGGGTGCACCATGGCTTGAGGATGAGAGAAGTTGTGTGAGCATTCTCTTCCTGACTGTTCACAGGAAAAGCAGGACAACTTGACAAGTCCTGTAATGATGTGTGTCTTTCCGGGTCTTGGTTGTTCGCTCAGAATGAGTGTTTCCAGCTCTATCCATTTGCCTGAGGATTTCATGACTTTGTATCTCTTAATGGCTGGATAATTTCCCACTGTGTAGATATACAACATTTTTATTATCCATCACCTGTTGTTGGACATCTAGGTTGTTTCCAACTGTGGCTATTGTGAATGGAGCAACAGTGAACATGGATGAGCAGATGTCTCCACAGTGGAATAGAGTCCTTTGGATAAATGCCTAAGAGCGAGATAGCTGGATCATATAGTAAACTTAGAGCTTTTTGAGGAACCTCCACACTGATTTCCACAGTGGCTGCACAAGTTTGCATTCTCACTAGCAGTGACTGGTGTTTCCCATTCCCTACATCCATGCCAACATTTGTCATCATTTGTTTTTTGTTTTCTTTTTATCTTGGCCATTCTGACTAGGGCAAAATAAAATCTCAAAGTAATTTTAATTTGTATTTCCATTACACAGCTAAGGATGCTGACCAGTTTCAAACTAGGTCTCAGCCATATGAATTTCTTGTTTTGAGAATTCTGTATAGTTCAATGACCTATTTTTTTTTTTAATTGGGTTGTTTGTTTCCTTGATGTTTGGGGTTTTGTCTTAGTATGTTCTAGGTACTAACCATCTGACATGTATAGGTGGTCAGGCTTTTTTCCTCATTTTGTAGGCTGCCTCATTCAAATAATGCTGTCCCTTGATGTGCAGTCATGTTTTGGTTTCATGTGGCCCCATGACAGTCTTAATGCCTGCACCATCAGGATCCTGTTCAGAAATTCCTTTCATGTTCCTATAGGTGTATTCCCTACTTTCTGCTCTATCAGATACAGGGTCTCATGTCTTTGTCCTGGCATCCTTGATCATTTGGAGTTCAGTTTTATAAGAGTGAGAAATAAGAATCAAGTTTCATTCTTCTACATGTAGCTATCCAGTTTGTTCAGTGATTGAAAATCTGTAATGTGTATTATTGGCCTCTTTGTCAGACTGTAGGTGTCTGGATTTATATGTGGATCTTCAGTTCTATTCCATTAATCAATATGTTTGTTTGTTTTGATGCCAAGATCATGCTATTTTTATTACTATAACTCTGTAGTAAAACTTAAAATCTGGGATGGTGATACCATAGTTTTGGGTTTTTTGTTTTGTTTTTTAATTGTTCAGAATTATTTTTACTATCCTGGGTCTTTTATATTTCTATTTGAAATTTAAGATTTTTTTTCAGTATTTGTAAGGAATTGCATTGGAATTCTGATGCACATTTCATTGATTGCTGTTGATTGTTTTTTGTAGGATGGCCATTTTGATAATATTAATACTACCAGACAATGTTCTGGTATCTTCTTCTATCTCTTTTCTCAATGTCTTCAATTTTTCACTGTTTGGTCTTCATTCTTTTTTCTTTTTTGTTAGATTTATTCCAACATCCTTTAAGGCTCTTGGGAGTGGTATTGTTTTCCTAATCTCCTTCTCAGTGTTTGGCATTTGTATGTAGAAACGCTGCTGTTTTTTTTTTTTTTTTTTTTTAATCCTGCTACTGTTCTTAACTTTCTAGTCATTGTTGCCTAACTCAGGAT